AATATGTAGATAGCGGTAGTATACTGTATAGGTACTATAAATCTGACACAGTTGTTCAATTTGATAATAATATTATTGTGATATTAATTAATATACTGTTTGTAAATGCTCACAACTTGAAATTTATATTTAAATAATCTGCAATGTACATAACTGTTGAACAATGAATTTTTTGGATAGACCGTAGACGTTTTTATTTGTATTATTTTATGACACACATCTACTGTTATAGACAAAACGAAAAGCGCATAGCAACTTGGTAAGAATATTATTCTACCTAACCGAGAATTAATATATTTACTTCATAAATATTTAAAATTATCCAAACTTTTCATACACATACGCACACATGAACTGTTTATAATAACGGTAATATATTTATATTACTCACTGCAGCGTCGTGTAAGAATAACGCGTAGGTTAGGTACCCGCGTATATAAAGCCCAGAGAAAAGCAAATGAATTGAGAATTCCATTCATATAAATATATAATAACATTATTACTATGCCCTACCACAAGCTTAACCTTGTAACGATTCAATACAGGTGCCTTCCATAGTTCTATCGACCGTATAACAAGTTGTTAATCCGTAAAATGAAGAAATTGGTGTAATCATCCTGACGAATTCAGACGAACCTTTTTATTTAAACTAATCCTAAAAATAGATGCTACGATGAAAATCATAAATCAGACACACCTGTCCTGGATAAGTTATAATGATAATAATAATAAAATTAATAATAGTAACGATGCACCTCGTTTCAAAATAATTTGATGAAAATGTCCTAATTGTGTTACAATAGTAAGTAAGCACTTTAACTCACACGGAAGGGCCAATAGAAACAGGTTATTAGTTCAAAATTATCTAATTATAAGAATAAAAAACTTTTTTTCTCGGAAATGCAGAATAAGTAAATCTTAGATGAACCAATAAAAAAGGATACTACATAATTATATAGATCGATAATAAAATAAATTGAGACAGATCAATTTAGAAAATATGCAAGTTTAAATAGATATGTACCAACGTTAATTGGTATTGCCGGTTCACTTTCTCAAGAAAATCGTTTCGATTGTTATTTTCAAACTTCTTCTAATCCGATCATTCACACTTTAAGCTGCTATTAAATTATAAAACTGAAAACATAACTTATTGTTAAGCTTAATTAGCTTATATACTATTAAAGTATATTAGTTTGATAAATCAGAGCCATAATACGTCCAACGTGTGATTGTTTACCCACAACTACACAGTATATTATACTAATTATAAGTACCAATAATCATTGTATAATGTATATATCAGGCATCAGCATCTATAAACAGCCATGTGGATATCATAGTTTACTCTTCACTCTGCTTTTTGTAACAAACAACGGACTTAAACAAATTACATGGCTTCGAAGTGTTTTCATCATATTTTTCATATAATAGGAAAACAATAATTTTCATCAAATCAACTTATAGTTTGAAGCTTGAACCATCTACCCCGGAGAGTCAGCCGTGTAATGTGTATATATTTATGTGAACACATAGTGTCTATAATGTCTAACGGTCCTTCTTATTTCTGTCACGACCGCGCGACAGCAACAATAACGAAACAATTTAGATAGGTTATTATTATTATTATTATTACTATTATTATTATGATTATTATTATTATTACGATCATCATTGAGTGAACGGTAGCTCTCCGTTGTAACTGTTAATTTCTTTAGGCGGCTAACCACGTGAAAACGTCATACCGATGTGCGGTCTTGTTGTTGGAGTATGCCTTTGAAACGCTCCACCTCACCAGGACACCCCCTTCTCAAAAAAAAAAAAAAAAAAAACAGTCGTTTATTATATACTGATGGGTTTGATGTTCAATGATAGTTATGTTATTACCGACACATTAGATGGTCAGCAGGACCTGTAAAATGTACCTACACACACACAAACACGCGATACTATACTATTATAGCGGTTGTTATGGTGGTAAACAAATTGATCAATTTGTCAATATTCTCGATTCAAGTAGTGTTGTATTATTTATGCAGCAAAACATTATTTTAAACATAACGTCTCTGAGTTCCTAATACGCGTGGCACGCCAATCATTCTTTTCAAACGAATAAAACACACTTATAAGGCTATAACCCTATATATATATAGGTATCATCAAGCGATTGAAACGAAACGATTGTGTAATTTACATATAGCCATATTATCAATTACAAGGTTCTCGAGTGCAAGTCTGATATATTTTACATAGGTATACAATTAATTTAAAATTTATTTTTCTAGAAAATTATCAATTCAGTATTGTAAAAAACTATAAAATAAATATAATTCTTTATTTCACATAGTTCACTTACACAAATCATCTGTACCTTTACTTCACTCTACAAATTAGGCATACCCTAAACTTATCACAATATACTTTTTAAACTTAATTTATACGTTTGTATAAATATTGTAATGCCCATTGGCCCATGGGTCAGATAAGTAATAGGTACCTATGTGGATGAATGGTTAAAAATAAATTTACTTTATTGTTTGTACTAGGTAGATATATTGTGTAAATCAATGCCTTACATTATTTTATTTTTGTTCAAAAACTTTTTTAACTAAGAATTAATAACAATTTCGATTTGATGGTTTTTAAAACAATTGTATTTATGTATTTATGTCAGTTTCAAACAATATTGACACTAATCACACTAATATTAAAAACTAAATACTAATACTTACCAAAAAAATCTAGTGCTTCCTTAAAATAATATGAAGATATAACTAATATACATACAAATAAATTATTTAACGAATTTATAAAACAAAAAATAATAAAATTAACTAAAAAATTACGATGAAATTATGGTAAAATATATTTTTGAACAACTTTAGGTATTTGTCATTACAGTAGGGGTATATCATTATATCAATAACTATTTTATAAAACCAATCAGAACACAATTCAAACAGAAAAAAAAAACAATTCATCAGAAAACACATGTTAGTAACATCCGTGAAAAATAGTAATTTAATATTATTTTATCTGTCCTAATAACCCAATTTTACGGTAAACACATTAGCAAGTCGAGTAAGATAGAATTAGAGTATACCTACTATGTTATGATTAAACCATGCTGTTATATTTATTAACAATAAACGTGATCATCCTATATTTTTTTTTAAATTTGAAATTGTATAAGAAATAAGAAACAGTTTGAATTCTAAACTAGGTACTTTAAAAATTAATCTAATTATTATATGGTAAGATGTTGTAATTTAGTATAGATTATGATAAAAATTATAAAATAGGTATCTGAATCGAGCCAGATTACAGTACCATTGTTAACTTCAATATTTTTAATTGCTTAAAATTTAAATTATGACTATTGCTTAAAATATAATATAACTTCTTATTACCTATCTAATATTCCTGTGGTGTAACTAAAAAAATGTAGACTTTAAAAACATAAATGTATTTACTTTATTTTTAATATCATGAAAAATCTTCTAAACAATAAAACCAACTAAAAATCATTTTCAAATTCCCATTCTCTCGTCCTACACAAGAACATGTTGACTGTTCTATTCATTATTTCTAGAGCTGAACTCATTGTGAAGATAAGGAACCTCTTCTCCGTTATTGTACGTTAATAGCTAATTGTACAACCCCTTCTCACATTTCTAAATTTGTCATTTATTACACGAAATTCTTGTTATTTTAATTTACTTTGAGCTATTAACGAATTATATAAGGTACCTACTTAATATTGTTTTTGGGCACCAGCTTGTTTGGTTGTGATATGTATGTATAACATTTTCACATTTTTAATTTACATCTATCACTTAAATAAATAATTAAACCAAGTAATGTAATTTTATTCACAAATTATTATTTTATTTAAAATTCGTGTCATTGTTTACAGCATTTAATGTATAAAGAGCCCAGTGTAGATGAAATATAACTAATAATATAAACAATACAATATATAGTATTAGTATCTATATATAATGGGCGTAAATCGTGATCCATTTATATTTTATTAGATTAGATTAATATCCATGAATATGTAGTTTATTTAAAATATAATTTTTATCACACAACATTAAAAAAAAATACAATGTTATAAAAATATTAAGATATGATAGTGGTAATTTATTGATGGTGAGAATCTTGAGAAAAAAACTCACCTTCTGACCCTAATAATATATACAACATAAATTAAATATTATCCTTAGTATACAGGGTGATTTTTTTATCGAAGAACACTCATTATTTCAAAAAGTATTAATGTTTAAGAAAATATTTTTTTACATAGTTTCAAGTTGTTAAAAAACAATATTTTTATTAAAAAATTATATTTTTAAATATTTTTTATCCTTTTAATTTTTTAAGTTTTTTACTTTTTTGAATGACAACATCTAATTTTAATTTGATATTCAAAAACAGAATATTTTTCTGATTATTTTAATACATAAAAATTGAATTTAGGGCAAGTAGTTTATGAGTTATAAGTATTTAAAGTTTAGATGAGCGGAGTAGAGGACAAACATTTCGCGGGGTAACCCCGTACCACTCTACTCCGCTCATCTAAACTTTAAATACTTATAACTCATAAACTAATTGCCCTAAATTCAATTTTTATGTATCGAAATACTCAGAAAAATATTCTGTTTTTGAATATCAAATTAAAATTAGATGTTGTCATTCAAAAAAGTAAAAAAATTAAAAAATTAAAAGGATAAAAAATATTTAAAAATATAATTTTTTGATAAAAATATTGTTTTTTAACAACTTGAAACTATGTAAAAAAATATTTTCTTAAACATTAATACTTTTGAAATAATGAGTGTTCTTCGATAAAAAAATCACCCTGTATAATATATGTGTCTAATGTCTATTTAAATTCTTACATAAAATCGATGAATAGAAATGTAAAAAATACGTTTATGATACAATTGTGTCCACAATTCACTGACATTATTTTTTTTCAGATCGGTGGTATTAAAATGAGAAGAATCAACCGTCGGTTGGTTTTGTTATCGATCGTATTCGTGTGTGACGTAGTTAATGTTTTCGGGAGACCGCAAGAGCCAAGCACAGTTAGCAGCACATTAAAAGGTAAAATTAAAAATATATATATATATTACGTGTGGACCAAAAATGTACGTGGAATTTAATATCTCGATAAACAACTGATTTATAATCTAAATGTATGAAAATAAAATAAGATTTCGATAAAAAACTTATATTTTTGAACGTCTATCAACATAACATGTAAATATATTTAAGAAGCGATTACATTTTATAATATTTTTTGATAGCATAAAATACAATATACGCTGTTTAAAATGGCTTTATGATATTTTTTAAACATTTTTAATTTTACAATACTCTATAGTCTATACAAATAAAAATGTAATCATTTATAATAATAATACATTTTCTGTTAAAAAATTAATTTATTATAAAAAATTCCAAAATGACGATGATAAAACATAAGATTCAGGTTTAGTGCCTGAAAATGTAATGGCATGGCACGCGTTCATGTTATATGTGTTGCCTATTCATAACGCCGTCGCACTTGGTAAAATAATATTAGCTTAAACATTTATACATTGATAATTTATATTAAATTGAATACTTATGCAATCTTCTATTATTTTTAGTATTAATAAATCAGTATAATTATAAAACATTTATAACTTAAATATTAAATTTTGATTTAATCATGTTATACTCCGCTAACAATTTATTCCAAAATATCAAACATTAATTAAAAAAAAAAAAAAAAACATTAATTTCAATATGTAACGCTGTTTTATTTTTATTTGTTACAGATGATCTTGTTAACAGGTATACAGCTTTTACTACGGCCACTCCGAGGTCTTTGGAATTTGTGGAAAGCTACTTGAGCACGTCTAAAAACCAATACGCATCGAATGCCATAAACAAAAAAGAAGACACCCGTTACGCTGAACCCGATCCGTCATTAAGACCTTTTTTCCAATTCCTTTTAAATTCAACTAAAAGAAAAAAACGAAATTTAACTAAATCATCAGATAGTCGGCTAGTAGAAAACTTTATCAATTACTCTATTAATAACCTCCGAAACCCAGTCCGTGCTGAATCATTAGATTCAATTATTCTCATGCATAATGTTGGGGAACACTCTTCATATAAGTATGAACCCGAAACTCAATATTTGCCTGTACAAATTTATTCGAAAATTCCAAAACCAAAACCTATAAGGTATGATTTATCTTCTTCTGACTCTATATCTGGATCTATATATCAAACTTCTACCCAAGACCCGTATAAAAATTGGCAAGAAACGCCCCTGATTTTTCCCAATAGCAATGGAAAACCATCCACTGCTCGTCCACCTTATATCTCATCCAACTATTATCAACCCAATTACAATATCCCAGTTATTATTAACGACCAATCACCAACATTTATAACTCCTATTGAACTACAAGCCCCTACATTTATAACGCCAATAGAATACCAAGGTCCAACTTTCGTAACGCCTATATCTGTCACTCAAGCACCATTAACTGATGGGAACCCGCCACCAACAATAGTTATATTGGAAGATATAGATACGGCAGTAGAACCTCCATTAAGTGATCCCATAGTGGAACAAGATCCGGTGGGTGCGGGGGGTTCTGGTGTGGCTAGTGCAGCAGCGGTTGGTGGAGCAGCTGGAATCATAGGTGCTGCAATAGGGGCAGGAGCCGGGGTAGCTGGAATTTCTGGAGGGGCAGCAGCTGCTGCAGTAGCTGGTGTAACTGCAGGAAATGGAGGTGGAGGGGGTGGAGGTGGTGGTGTGGGAACACTAACACCAGCGGACGTAGCGCAGTGCCGGGCTAGTGGAAGTGCTTCAAAAGTGTGTTCTGAGTTAATAACGACTTCAACTTCTCCAACTAGTTCTGGTTTTATACAATTTTTAGATGATTTAATATACTTGTTCACTTCGTTTAATTTTATTGGGCCATTGATGATAACTTTTTGGTCGATTATTTTTCCACCTATGTCTATTATTCTGACCAGTGGTCTAGGTGTTATATCATTTTTGTTTCCTTGGATATTGCCAAGGATATGGTTTGGTCGTCAACTCATGAATACGTTTAATATAAACCAATTTGACCAACGTTTAGACAATACAAATAACTACCATCAGCCATATTATTACTAATATTATTATCACTGTGTAAAGTATTTGATTAATTAGTTTCTTTTAAATTATTTTAATACTGTTCATTACACTTATTTCCTTTTCCTCGTTCGTGAGTTCAGCGATCACGGGTGTATCTTAATTAACTGTATTTACGTTTCTTTTATAAATTAAATTATTTTAATTTATTATTAAAAGTTAGTTTTAATTTCCAGGCTGTGACGTCGTTATTATGATATTTTTGTACAAATTAATATGATAAAATTATACGTTTTAGGATAATTTATAATAATTTATGCGTATAATATATTGTTGTACGGTATAACTAGATAAATAAAATAGAATCATAATATTTTAATCTGACTTTTTTCATTAAAATCCTAAATAATTTAACATATTATATTTAAATAAACTGATTAACTGTATTGATTTTTATAGGAAAGATGCTGTGGCGACGCCAATCGTTGTGTTTGCAGAGACAGCTATCAATGCAGGGGATGCCCGGGCCCATACTACTAAGCCACCGCTGATGGATGATTCTGTGAAGTCAGTTAGTGATCAACTTCTTCAAACATCGACATCTACAAATATGGTTGTATCATCAGAAGTTAGAACAGTTCAAAAAAATGAATCACCTTTAAAAGGAGAAGCGGTGCCTGTGCTAACTGATGAAGATGTGCACGCTGTAGGCCCATACAGTTACAAAATATCATCGGATGGATCCACAAGACCAACAGGAGATTTGTCAACTTGGATTCTATTGGGTGGTGAATCTTCACCAGCACCATTAAATATGGCCACAATTAAAAAGGTACCTAAACCAGCTGATGCAACTACATCTTCACTTTTACAGTCGTATGAAACAAGCACTACAAGAAAAAGGAAACCTACAACTGAAAAAATGACTACAGCTCATTCGACTACAGTCACCGAATCCCCGATCAAGTTACAGGATTCCAAATTTAAAAATAAAACGCCAGTCATTGTTGGAAAAATACCTACTACAACTACAGTTAAAGATAAAGTTGAAGAAGTGACCAGTCCTCTTCCTGAATTACCCCCCCTGGACAATAATACGAGATTTGGAACTCCTGTTGTCACATTTCCTCATGTACCACCTAGGCAGAGACCCTCAGCAAATAATACAAAAAAAACAGAAAAACCTTTGACAACAAAAATAACTTCTACAGCCGTTGTTATTTCCAAGCCTTTAAATAACACAATGGCAGTGTCTTCTACTACTGCCCCCACGGTCACTATTACTACATCATCTTCTTCCACAACAGTTTCAAATCTAAATGTAACTGAAATTGCAGATAAATTCACAGAATCGAGTAATTCTACTACACAAAATACTTCATTAAAAAAGAAAAAAAAGAAGAAGAACAAGAATAAGCGTAAGCCAGTTAAAGTTTCTAATGAAGATGCTCAAAGTAAAATCGATGAACAGAGTACTAAAATAACTCCAGGTCGACCATTATCAACTCGAATTTATAATTATTTGGCTCGCGAAGTTATGCCTAATGTGGGAGTAGGTTTAGTTGGTTTGATGTTGACTGCTGGTTTAGCAGGGTTACTGTTATATTCGCCATTAGGAGGAGCTGCTATACCTTTGGTACCATTAAGACGCACTGATTCTCACGTACATGGTCATAGTCATGGACATGGTCCTGGTTATGTTCCTCCTGAAACTGACAACTCACAGCCAGAAGAACAAGTGTTCGGTCAAGTGCTGTCTGGAATGTCTTATGGTCATAATCCGTATGGTAGAGAACGTCCTGACGCAGTTCCTAAGTACAAGTCATCTTATCAACCATCTGAATACCCTGCCGTTCATGATGTACCGAAATATAATTCCCATGACACCAATAAATATTCTGCACATGATGTAACTAAATATGTTGCAGCAGCCGATACAACTAAATATTCTACACACGACGGAACCAAATACGCGGTTGTGGAAAGTACTAAATATTCAGCCCCCGACACTAATAAATATTCGGCTCTAGATACATCGAAGTATTCGACAATTGACGTAGGTGCTACTCAAGATAAGGTACCATATACTCCTTTAGATGCATCCGAAGGACCAGCATTTGAACAAACACAAGACAGCCAAGATGATACTTACCAAAATCACCATTATGATGAACTCAAGTTTGATTCGTCCAACGCTTACGATCAACCTAAGTATCAGAGTACTTCACAGGTGAAAGGAGTGTATAAAGAAGATCAACCTTCTTTTGAAGTACCAAAGTATCCAGGATATGTTCAAGATGTACCTAAAGAAGAAGCTGTAGCTGTGAATTATAATTTTGATAATCACCGAACAGATGAAAAAGAAAGTTCTACTGCGGCATCATCAGATCCAACGTTTTCTGCATTACAGGGAATTCCAAAATTTTATGAACAAAGTGTAAACCCTGAACAAATATCTGTTAATGTACACCAAACTATGAAGATGGAACATGGACCTCGAAGTTTAAGAATAAGGCGTCAAGTAGACGAACATAACGAAATTGATGCCCAATTACCAGATGAAACTACAGTAAAGCCTACCGAAAAAACTGTCGATAAGAGTATGGAAAATCAAACAACTGGTGATATCACTTCTTCTACAACCACATCTACGTCAACAGTCTCAACCAAAATACCTGACTCATCAGAATCACCTACTGTGAATAACAACCAATTTTCATTAATAGATCTTTTAAGAAGAGTAGCTGAAGTCAAATTGAAAATGGGAATTGAAATCCTAAAAAACACAGCAGCTAGTTTCACACAATATGTAAATGCTATTCAAAGAAAAATGACACACATGGTTAGGAATCTACAAAAGTCCAACGACAGACAACAGTCAGAGGACAAACAGGAAAAAAATGTCAAATCAGATTCAAATGTATCCGATGATAAACGACAACGAAGATCAATTAGACATAGGATTTATTCAAATTAATTACTTTTAAGTGGAGTTAAAATAAGTTTGGTGATATGATGGGAATGTACAATGAACTGGGGAATTTCTCTTATAATATTTTCAAGACTAAAAACTTTAGCTAAAAAATGTCCATACAATGATCTATGGGTTTTTTTTAGGATCAAGTTTTGGGATCTACAAACATATTGTAAATTGAATTGATTTGTAATATGTTTTTGAGAGAAAATAAAATAATATGTCTTGTATTAAATGTTAAAATACATATTGTAAACTTAAGTGATTGGTACATTGCTACTATTGTATAGCACATAATATGTACCTGTCTATGTAAATATTAATTTAAATTTTATATTTTTTTATACGTAACAATATACAGTGTTTTATTTATCGAATAAATACAATGTGTGTTTATTTTTATTTCACTTTTACCCAACATATTTACTTAATATAAAATAAAATGTGATACTGTGTATCAAATTACAATATACAGTATACAAGCACTTAATAAATTAATAAAATACAACTGAATTAAAACTATTACATTAAATAAATAAATAATTAGTTATCGTGTAGTTACATAACAGTGCTCAAAAGGTATTAAAGGTATTGGCAACGACATCAAATAAACATTGAGCGGAACGCAAAAAGGTGACGATTAAAGAAAAGAAATTACAGGTAATTTAGAGTCAATAATTATCTAGGATATACGTGATGATGCATTACTACTTCTGGTCTAGTCGTAAGATCCCTGCGTTTTCTGTTAACCATCATTGGCAGGAACATTGCCATGGTAGCAGCTGGTAGCATTCCAGCGCCTACTGCGGCCAACATAGCTCTTCGCTCGTCGTTGGACTTAGCTGATCTGTCAGAAAACACTTGCACATCATTTTCATTTTCCTTAAGTGCCCTAGCTGCAAACTCCCTTTGTTCTTGATCCACTGATTTCCTTGAAACATCCACCTCGATCATGCCATTGTGCGATGTAGTTACATTTTTTGAATCTTTATCCGGTGGCAAAACCATTAATCGTACAGTTCTTTTGGACGATATCGGTCGGCTTACCGTATCCGCTGATCGACCAGTCATTTCATCTGATCTACTTACAGTTTCAACCGGTTTGTTGACCGTGTCAATGGATATCGACCTTCCTTGTAGGCTTCTATTAGGTCGATGTGGGATAGAATAACCTTTAGTGCTGGATAAAAGCACCCATTGTCCATCCCCTTCGGCTTCTGTGGGTCTCGGGCCACCATAAGATGTCTGTCCATAGTCACCGTTCCACGGTTTGTGATAAGCGTCGGCAGGAAATTGTCCCGGTTTACCATCCGTAATTATATCTTGCTCTGCATTGTTCCATCCATAAAAGCTCTGAGAGTTATGAGGTGCCGACGGTTTTTGATAATTAGACGCTTGTGATGGCTTGGAAGAATAGTCGTAAGTTGGTCGAATCCAAGGGCGCTCAGTGGTCCATTCAGATTGCTGCTGTTGGGGCTGATGATAATTATTACTGGGTCGTTGTATAGGCCTGTTACTGGCCCATGGAGAATAGCTGGCTTGTGTGTGGTCTTGGGGTGGTGGCGGCCACGTGGGGCGATTGTTTGGTTCCCATTTCTGGATGTGCGACGACGACCAAGCCATTGGTTCCAATGTGACCCACCCACGTCGATCGTCGTATGGATTTTTCGGACTCTGTTGTGGATCTACTAAATTCCAAGATGCCTTGGATTTATCTTGATTTCCACTATCTTCGTACGATAATATCTTGTCCGACGATTCAGGCTCGCTGTCTGCTTCACCATAACGTTTAAGTATTCGGTTTAATTCATCCTGGGTGTACGGTTTGAAGGTGGCATCAGATCCTCCCAGCTCAATCCCCGCGCACTCGTTGTTATCCGTACACTCTATTGAATATTTCATTTTAGCCGGATCTGATGCTCCGATAAGTGAAGCTCCGGTTATCGTGTCACGCCTCCATTTTATTGTCCCTGCATTCGCATCATCTCTAACGGTGAATGGCTTCGATGTGATTATATAATTGGTCTGTGTGTTTGGCGCTGAGTTATAAGACCGTGATTCTGTATTGGCTGACACTAAGATCACCGGCAATACGGCAACAACCCAAATGTACATTGTAAACTTGTTTTTATTACACCGGTATGTGATGAAAGATTGTTGACATCCTTTGAAACCAATCCTTTAGCTATGTTCTGCAAAATAAAATAAATAAATGCGTTAAAATTAAATATATCTAAATTATAATATGGAAATTACAATTATAAGTATATTTATTGAAAGTCACTTTGTTTATGTCGAATGATGGCCTTCCAAATATTTTAAGTGTACGTACTAGTAACTTACTAGGTACCTATGAGTAAAAAAACATTTCTACTTTCCATATCATCATTCACAATTACGATGCTAATGACTGGGTATCACTAAATTACTTTTTAATCATTTCACTTTCATAAAGCCGTTTTATTTTATAATGACCTGTGACTAATTTTTTAACATTTCGTTTATACTTCATAATTTATTACCTTTATGTACGTCCGTGATTGTATTGTGTGCAATTTTGTAATGCACTAGCTATTGTAAGGTCATAAGACTATTTAAAAAAAAAAAAATTTATTTATAGTTTGTTATGACTTTTGATGTATATAATATAAAATATGAAAATGTGTTGCTGGTAAACACTCCGGTACTGTTCGCGACCCACGTGTCACTGTGCAAGAAAACATTCGGATGGCTCGAGAAAGGATACGGTGCAATGAAAATTCGTTAGTGGGTTCACGCGGTTATTGAAGCGCGGAAACGGTGAAAGTACTTTCTATTTCTGTAACTGTAACATATTTATTCCCAGCAAAAAAAAAGAAAAAGAATTCTCGATCTCGTTGACTCTGGAAATTTCCAGGTTACGCCAATTAGAGGGGTTCGTTTTTGTGTTTGATTTAATTTGTTTTGTGCACATACGTTTCCGATAGTAGATTTAACATAGGACAATACAGTAGAAAATCAAACGGGAGTGTTGGCTGTCACGTATCCACATAGAATCTTCATGACAATAGACTTTGGGATTTCACAAATGAATGTTCTATCCTACAAGAATTTGATGGTAATTTTATTGTACAAACAAAAATCCTATTCAAACTGTTCAATGTTCATCTAATAGTCTACGTATTCAATTATTAAAAATATGCAACAGTATATATAATATTCAACACTGTGAATTATTTATACATACCTTGGTATAATGCACATAAGTCAATTATTTATAATTACTATATAATAAATATATATATAATAAACTGTTTTATATTTAACTTTCTTTTTGTCATTCTAAAAATCCAAAATAAGTCGATAAATAAATAATTAAATAATTATTTTATTTTATTTTATTTTTGTATTTGAGTACATTTATTTTTAATTTTTTTAGTTCATAAAAAATCTGTTCATCATTGTTTTTTAATTTAATGATAACAACGCATTGAAAAAATATCACGAGCTGGTTACATAACCAAAACAATGCGTAACGAAAGAATTTACCTTGTAAACGGCATTCACCAATGAACTTGAACTTCATAATAATTTATTAGGAATTCTCAAATTAAACAAACGTATAGATTTAGATATAGTTGGTGATTTAAAAAATTGATATTTATTATTGAATATATATTTTAATTATATACAAAATGAGTCCAATATCAAATAGAAACTGTATTGTGTTACAAATAATTTTCAAAAAAATTAGAGTTTGTTTTTATCTGTAGGTACAATATTATCTACTCTTACTGAATATATTTTATTTTTCAATACAAGAAAAATACGTATTATTAATACTTATTTGATTAAAGAATTTTTAACAAATCCCCACCCTCTAACGGTTTTTTGAAAAAAATAGTTAAATAATTTAACAATTATTGCCATGGGACGCTTTTTATATAGTTACAATATCTTTGTATGACATTTTTTGTTTGCCACCAAGGATAGAAGTGAGAATAGTCTAAGTCTTACACCCCACATAACTTGTAACAAAAGAAAACTCACTTCTCATATTTAAAGCAACAAAATAAATTCACATATACCTAAATATTTTATCCAAGCAAACTGAAAAAACGTCATTTATAAGTTTAAGTCTTTATGATAAAATATATTACTTATGTTATTATGTTCGAATGGCCATTTCACGAGTTTATTCGTGGAAAAACCACATTTTACCTACCACGATACACATGGTCGAGTATGATCGCGTAAAAAACGGACGTTTTCCCGGCAAACTAAAGTTGACGTAAAGCAAACTCGGTAAAAAAAAAAAAAATACAAAGTGACAGCGGACTTTTAAAATTATTCAGGTGAGTGTTTACCTTCTCGGCAGTGCTCGGGAACAAGAACGGCAGTCAAATCGATGGGACCGGAAGCGGCGGAAGTCCGTTTCGGCACGTCGGGCCCCGACGGTGAAATGGCTTGCAATGACACTGGTGCGGACACAAGAGCGGACGATAATAATATATTATTATCATACACTAACATAAAAAACGACCTGCGGAGTCGGCGCGCGCACGTTTGTGTGTGTTTGTTTGTTTGTGTGTGTTTGTCGGCGTAGTGCCACGGCGGCGGATCGCTTAGTAGCCGTTTAATAACGCACGTCCGATGTTTTATTAGTCACTGAACGGGCGTCGGGATCGCGACTCGCGGGAGAGAACCGCCCGGGCGGCGCCGACCGGAGACGGCGGGCCCCCTCGGCCGCCAGCGGTGGAAAACCATTGCGTGGACTATGCCCCCCCCTCACACTCGCGGATGAGAGGGCCACCGGACCAGAACCACAGGAAAGTTTCCCGAAGCCACCTCTTAGGATTTTTTCTCTTTCTTCCGTTGTTTATTTCGGCTGGCGTTCTCTCCGCGTAGTACATACACACGACCGTTTGTGTTGTTATTATTATTATTAAGTATCATTTATTTTTTTTAAATGCAAAAACCGATTTTCTTCTTTTTACAGTTTTCACTCGTTTGGATCATTTGTGCGGTGATGATGACGATTGTGTGTGTACTCACTCACTCACTCTCTCTCTCTCTCTCTCTCTAACTTTCCGTCTCTGTCGCGGCGGCGGTGGTCTCCGGCCGAGCCGCTTTCTACAGTCTCCGCACGACGTCTTTATAATACACATCCATAATATATTGTGCATTGTCGCGACCGCGTCTTTTTTTTACGCTCGTCGCCCTGCGCGTCCCGTCGCGTTCAGTCTTCCGCATCTGCAGACACTCGCACTTTTTTACTGCCATCCCCCCCCCCCAATCATCTATTCTCTCAGGTCCCGACGTATATTATATTCCCCCGTTACCACGTTAAGTCCTACGCCTTTTCGGAAGACGCACCACCATAGCGCAGCATTTCTCTCTGCGTATCGATAACATTTACCAACGTTGCACTAATTATTGCGTCCGAAGATGTTTAAGTGACTATACTAATCCGATGTAAAAAGTAAAAACATAATTGTCTATATTATATTGTGACATTTAAATATCTTCAAATAGCAATAATATAGAGTACCTACTACATAGTTAAAAGTAGGTAGGTTGAAAATATTGTTTTTCATCATTTCATTTTATATTCATATTTCATGTAAAAATATCAGCCCAAATAAATATAATATTAAGATTTCGTGTCTTATGATGTTATATGACTTGTCTTAACTATTTGATTATAGGTACGTAGCTATTACGATTTTAATTCTTTGTGTTAATTAGTATATCAATAATCAATGTACCAATAGATATTAGGGTGAGCAGAATAAAACATTCCGTTAAATTTCTATTGAGAAGCTTCACTGCATGTCTACCTACGGTGGTATTGAGGTCAGGGGCGTAGCCAAGGGGGGGGGTTATCAGGTCACAACCCCCCCCATGAGTTTTTTAAAACCCCTAAAAAAATGGCAAAAATATTTTTCGAGATTAAAAAACTTTAACTTGATACTGACATTTTTTTATTTTTTTAAAAAAAAAAAATCTATCATCAAACCAATTAAACTTGCCATCAACTATTTCGTTAATAAAAGTTTTGATTCTATTCTATATAATATGTATTTGTAGTTAAAAGGTATATAGTATAAATTATAAATCCTTAAATTAGTAAATATATTATATCGTATTACATTTGTTATTTATATTTTATACATTCGTGTGAAAAAATGTCTGCTTCGTCATACATGGAGTAATGCTAACCTTTTAGCGATTTATATAAATATAGGTAAGTTTACCAACAAATTTTGGCAAACCCCCCCCATGAGAAAATCCTGGCTACGCGCCTGATTGAGGTAGGATCATTTAATAATAATAGTCACAATCGGGATTCGGGACACAATTCATGTAGTCGTTAGAAAAACTCAGAACGTAACTATTACCGATTCAGTAACATTCGGAATTAAAGAGCGCAACTTCAATGAAAAAACTGGTAGTGCTGAACATCCTTTTTTCATTTAGTCTTAAGATCATGGTTTACACAATGGGCAAATTTCGCTCCAATTCAATAATTACAAATTTAATAATATAAATTTACCTACTGTAGTAAATATTAAATGAATAATTCATTAATATAAAATTAGAACTAATTAACCATACAAGCATAAATTATGAAGGTGCTGATTTTAAGACTGAGGGTGCAAAGCAAATCTAAGCTTCCGCTCCCCCCCCCCAAAAAAAAGCATCTATGATTCTCTATGTTCCTCCTCAATCTTCTTACTTACATTTTTTTATGGGGCTCCGTCTAGGTATAACCATGAAAATAATATTTTTTGTTGTTAAAACTTAAAACAATTCAACCGAATTGTAATCTCTCAAAGGTGTTAAGGAACTACATAATTTTGATGAGCCATTATTATTTTTTATGGCTGAGGATTATATGGCTTGGATAATTTATATGCAATTTTTCGTTTCTGGATAAAACAAAGGTCACTATAGGGTGCATGTGCATGCCCTGCGCTCCTGCTCCACCCGTGCACCACGCGCGAAAATCATCTATGAAGGTACACGCCACTGTCGACAAGTTTTCACTATATGCACTCGTGCACCTGGCCAATCGACAAAAAAATATCAAAACCGTTCGTCGCGTTCTCTTATACTTATACATAATATATTAT